AGGACCAAAGGGAACCTTCATGGAATGGGGGACCCAGTGTAGCCCCCTGGTCTATAGAGGTGGGAGCTCTAGGAGTGAGTTGAGCTAACTGGCTTTGTGGTGTTCCATCTACCCACTCATGCACATAGACATACATGCATACATCCCTGTGTCCTCTCATCCACCTCACAAACATTTATTGGCATCTTCTGGGTGCCAGGAGCTGGTCTAGGTGCTGCGTTACAGCCTCAGAACTTCTCAAGGTTATGTACTGCAGAAGGTCTGTAGATTCAGGATTTCTCCCCAGGATTCTGGATTACAAATGCCCTAACTCTCTGGAGGCCTAAGGGGCCGATAAAGCTCAGATTGTAAGATTCTAGTTTTTCCTCCCACCCTGAATATTCCCTGAGCACCTACTCTTCATTCAGCTCTATTAGGGACAAAACAATAAATGGGACGTGGCTTCTGTTTCTAAACCCATGTTCCTGAAGGACAGAGAAAGCATAGACACTAAAATCCTCCAGGGAAGAGAAATGAGGAGCCCCAGGGAGGGACAGACCATAGACCATGAACTCACGGAGGAAGAGAAAGGTCCTCTAACTAGAAAATCTGGGAAGACTTCTTGAAGGAGGAGGTACTTTAATTAGTCTATAATGATAATGTGGATAGTTCTTACATTGACAGCTACCATCCATTCGTCAATCCACCTCCCCATCCAGCCACTCCCCACCCATCTATCCAGATGCATACATACATTTACCTAATACTTTCTGTGGATTTACTATGTGCCAGGTACTGGGAACAGAGCAATAAGTGATTCAACTCAGCATGGTCACACCTGCTTTGTCACATGCCAGCTATGACAAAGGTTCAGTTCTCTGTGCCTCAGTTTCTCCACCCATAAAATGGTGATGATGGTCCCTACCTCAGAGGCCCCTGTGAGAACTGTGTGAGTTAATACATGTCAAGCACCGGGTATACTCAGCCTTCTAAGGCTACCTACCTGTCTCCTGAGACCACAACTACAGTCTGATTCTACCCATCTTGTAATAGGGAAAACTGAGGCACAGAGATGGAGAGTCACTTATATAAGGCCTGGTAGGAACGCGTTCGGCAGAGATGGAGCCTGTGGTCTTTCTTAACCACCGTGATCTGCTGTGGCTGGATGCTTTCTAGGCTGGGGAAGATCTGGATGGTGGAGATGGAGGGAAAGGAGGAGGGGACTGCAGTGACAGACACGGGAGGGGGCAGGGGAAGGGGTGGGGTTGGTTGAGTTCAACAGGAGATGAGTATGGGGAGTGGGAAGGGGAGATGAGGCCTTAAAGGGAACTGAGGGGCTGGGCTTCATTCCAAGATGATACACACAGATACACACTCATGCGCACACGCATGCACACACACGCGTTGGCCCCTGGCCAGTGTCTGGTCCTGATGAATATGGTCCCCATCCACTCTCGCTGTCCCCGTGTGCAACCTGTCCTGGCCTTGGCCCCTGCAGCTGAGGTTCACGGAGTTAGTCTGGGACTCGGTGGGAAGGGGCCTGGGAGTCCAACTTCCTGTTTCCTGGAGGAAGACCCTGATCCTGTTTGTATCCAAGAGACAGAAAGAGAGACCAAGACAGACAGACTGAGACCAAGCACGAGACCGGCAGGGAGAGACACAGAAAAGAGAAAGAGATCATACCAGACTCGGAGACAGAGACAGACAGGTGGACAAAACCTTTCCCAGCCCCCAGCCCCTGCTCTGCCCCATCCAGTGTCTTCCTCCACCCGCCGCAGGTGAGGACATCTAGGCTCAGAGAGGTGCCGCACCTGCCCCGGCAGCCCGGCAGCCCAGTAGTGCCAGGATCCCTGCCCCGCCTTACCTGGTCTCGGGGTCCCTTCTTCTCCAGAAAGCTCTCATAGTAGTGTGAGGGCAGAGTGTTCTTGGACTTAGGGACCCAAGGTGGGCTCAGCACTGAGGCCATGGCAGCCCCCGTCTCCTGCCAGCCTCACCCTCCAGTGGGTGCCCCAGCCGGACGGGGAAGCTGGGAAACAGGTTCCAGGGGAATTTCCTCTCTTCTGTCTGTCAACTCCTGAGCTCCCTCCCCTGCCTGCACTGGGCGGAGGCTGGGCCAGCAGGTCCAGGGATCCTAGGGAAATCCCGGCCTTTCTCCTCTTCCCTAGGAGTCAGGGAGGCCTGGCCTGAGTAATGGAATGAAGGAGGGAGCCGCCTGGAGGCTTCCAGTTGGGGCAGAGACTGGGCACAGGGTGCACGGGGGAGGGATCTCACTAAACAAAGGCCTGCATATGAGAAAAGGAGCGCGATGCCCCAGCAGCCAGGGCTGAAATGCTCATTAGGCAGCCTGGCCATTACACTAATCTTGCATATATCTACCAAAAAAATCTTGCTGGGATTTTGATAGGAATTGCACCTGTGTATCCGCTGGGGGAGCCTTGAGCTCTTCACTCTGTTGAGCCTTATTCATGGACATGGTCTGTCTCCTCGCTTATTCAGATCTTCAATTTCACCCAGCAGCGTTGTGTAGTTTTCAGTATGCAAATCCTGTACCTGTTTCATTAGATTTACATCAAAGCATTTTTTTTGAACAATTATAAACAGCATTGTTTTTCCATTCCAATTCCTGGATAGCCTATAGACACACGGTTGATTTTTGTGTGTTGATCTTGTATCCAACAACATTGCCAGTTGAACTCATTTATTCTAGGAGTGTCTTTTGTACATTTCTTGGGATTTTTCCATGTAGACTAGCCTGTCATCTGCAAATAGGGCTGGTTGTATTTCTTGTTTTCCCATCTGTATCACTTTCCTTTCTTTTTCTTATTGCACTGGCTAAAATCTCCAGGACTATGTTGAATAGAAGTGATGAGAGTGGGCATCTTCGCCTCGTTCTCTGTCCTACTGGGAAAGTGTTCAGTCTTTCACCAACAGGTATAATAGCTGAAGGTTTGTAGATGCTTTTCACCAAGTTAAGGTACTTAACCCTCTGCTCCTACTTTGCTGAGAGTTTGTATCATGAGCAGGTGTTGGATTTTGCTTTTCTTGCAGCAATTGACACGATTGTACAGTGTCTCTTCTTTAGCTTGTGTGTTAATTTTCAAAGGCTTCACTTAGCAAATTGCCACAAATGTAGAAGCTTAAAACCACACAAATACATGGTCTTACAGCTCTGTAGGTTAGACGTCCTACATGGATCTCAGCAGGCGAAAATCAGTCTATTTCCTTGCCTTCTTCAGCTTCTGGAAGCTTCCTGCATTCCCTGGCTAATGGCCCCTTTCTCCATTTATAAAGCCAGCTATGCTGGGTAGCAACCTCATAGCCTATTAATCCAAATTTCTAGCATTGGACTCACCCAGATAATCCAGTTTAATCTCTTTAAAGTCAGTTTATTAGCAACTTTAATTCCATCTGCAACCTTAAATCCCCTGTGTTATGTAACCTAACATATTCACAGGTCTTGGGGAATAGGATGTGGACACCTTTAGGCAAACATTTTTCTACCTACCGCAGTCTGTTAAACATGGTGGATAACTTGATTCATTTTTGAATACTGAGCCAGCCTTGAATCCCTGAGTAAACTCCACTTGGTTATGGTGTATAATTCTTTTTGTATATTGCTGAATTCTATTTCCTAATAACTTTTTAAGTATTTTTGCATCTATATTCATGAGGGCTATGGTCAGTTTTCTTTGTACTGTCCTTATCTGGTTTTGATATCAGGATAAAGCTAGCTTCATAAATTGAATTGGGAAGGATTCCCTCTTCAATTTTCTCGGAGAGATTGTGTAAAAGTGGTGTTACAGCTCCTTTGAACCTTTGATAGAATTCTCCTTCATGGCCTGGAGATTTCTTTTCCTAGAGTTTTAAATTACAAATTCAATTTCCTTAATGACTTATAGGGTGGCCTGGACTTTATACATATAGCAAATAGCCTTTGGAATCCACTCAAGAGTTGGGTGACTTGGGGCCATCTCTTCATTGCTGAACTGTCTGATAAAGTTGATAAAGAGTATCTGCTATAAAGGGATGCTGTAATGGTAAATAAAGTCACAGCGGTTAGTTTCAATATTATTTATCAAAGGCAATGGGGACTCATAGAAGGATTTAGAGCAGGGGAGAGGTGGGCAAAGTTGCATTTTAGAAAGATCCCAAGATCCCTCTGGGGCCAGGGTGGAAGACCGACCAGGAGGGGTCTGGTATACAGGCCTGAGGCCCAAAGAGACGGCCAGGGTCCCGCCGGGGAGAGGCTGGAGGTCTGACCCAAGGGGGAACAGAGTCAAGAGAAAGTGAGCAAGAATATGGGGAATATCTGAGGCCAGTCTCGGCGAGTGGACCCGGGATAGAGTGTTGGGGGGACTCTGTTGGACGAAAAAAGAATAATTCACATTTACCCAGCTCTTATAATTCAGTCTGATTCCAGACCATCCCGGCTAGACACCCCTGTCCCCGCCCCAATGCGCTGTTCCAGCCTGGGGTCCGGGTTAACCCATCCGCGGCGGAGCCCAGCCCATGGCTCCCCGCAGCTTGGAGCGGACCCCACCCCAGGACTTCAACCCTGTCGGGGCATGGGAACGCCTGGCGCTGGGAGGAGGCGCTGCGTCTGGGACAAAAGGTCCCAGAACAGAAGCCGGGACAAAGGACAGGGCGGGAACCGTCCCGCGCACTTCAAGCCAGTCCCCGCCCACGTGCACGGCGGGGAAAAGGGGCTAGCCGCGGCCGATCCAAGGGGCAGATGTTGACCTGGGAGCTGATTGGCTGCTTGAGGACCAAACCCTAGAACGGATTGGATACATGAAGCCTGGGGACTCTTGCTGATTGGTTGAGAGGTTGTATCGTTTAGCTTAGCGGAAGCAGGAGTTTAACGTTGATTGGTTGGAGGGAAGCAAATCAAAGAATCAGCCGCAGGCGGCCGAGGCGACAGTATCCCTTTAAAGACTGACGCCTGGCTCGAGAGCTTTAGATCCGCGGCCCGGGGCTGCTTCCCCTGTCGTATTTGCAGCCCCATGGCCCTGTAGCTCTTTAGCCCGGGCCTCAGTTTCTCTGCTGGTTCTAAGGGATGAAGCCTCTGTGTCCCTCAAGAGCCATGGTAGCCGACCTCAGTTTTCGCGCTCGTCCTGGCGGGCTGGGCCCCCTGTTCTCCCCACCCCTCAGCCCCAGTGCAAGTCATGGCCTCGGGGAGAGCCACTAATTCAACCAAAGCGGAAGTCTCGGGCCTCAGTTTCTCCACTTGTACCCGAGAGATCTCAGTTGATACCCGGTTCCCACGGAGATGGCTCCAGAAGTCAGATTCCCGAATATTCCAGGAGGGCTGAGGACCGACCCTGAATCCCTGCGCGCAGGCGCGAGGCCTCAGTTTCCCCTCTCGTCTAGTGGGCCGAGCCCCCCGCCCGCCCACTGGTGGTGGCCATTGGCTGAGCACGCCCCTCGGGGCGGAGCCGTGTCACGTGGGGGAAGAAAGCAGCGGGGCGCGCAAGGAGCCGGGAGCTGGCGGAGCGGCCATGGCAGGTAGTGCGGCCTGAGCGGGAACCCGGGGACCCCCGAGGCACCGGGCGGGGTGGCCGGGCCGTCTGGGGGCGCGCGGCCTGGCTGCAGCCTGTCGTTGCCTGCAGCTCCGGAGCCACTGTCCCCGGCGGGCGGCCCGGGCGAGGAGGCGCCGGACGAGGACGAGGAGGAAGCGGAGGCCGAGGACCCCGAGCGGCCGGGGGGAGCGGGCGGCGCGCGCCCCGGTGGTGGTGGCGGCGGTGGCGGTGGCGGAGGCGGGGCCGGGGCGGGGGGCTGCTACGGGCCGGGGGGTGCGCTTACCAGGCGCGCGGTCACGCTGAGGGTGCTCCTCAAAGATGAGCTTCTGGAGTCCGGCGTCGGGGTGCTGTCCATCTACTACCTGGTGAGCACCCCGCACCCCATCCCATCCTGGAGGGGCAAGAAGGGGAAACAGGCCCAGAGCTGCCCTGCTGCAGGCCGAGCCCGGGTGTGGGGAGGGGAAGTTGAGGCATGGAGCATCTAGACCCAGCGCAAACTTTCTGGGTGGGAGGACGTCCTTAACCAAACATCCGTTCCACGAAGGGGAAACTGAGGCTCAGAGAGGACACCACTGCTTTCTTACACCTCGCTCAACCTCTCTGTACCTGTTTCCTCTTCTGTAAAATGGGATTTTTTTCTCCCATGGGGTTGTAGGAGGATGAAATGAATAAAGCACTCAGCAGGGTGCCTGGTACACAGTAAGTGGTTTGTGTTTGCTATTATTATTACTGTTATTGTTCTTGGCGGGTTGGTGAATGGCAGCAGTTTGTGAATTGAGCACCTGCTGTGTGCTAGGCGGTGTGTTGTGTGTTAGGGACACAGCAGTGATCAAGACAACCTTGCCTCTGTCCTTTGAGGGCTCCCAGCCAGTAAGGAGAGGGGCAATAGGCACACTGGGCAGTTTCTGCCCAGTCTGATCAGTACAGTGACAGTGAACATACAGGTACCAGACGGTACCTAAGCTGGAAGGCTTCCTGGAAAGGGTGCCAGAGTGGGAAGGGGTGCCAGGCCCTGGGAGCACCATGGCATCAGGGGCCTTGGTGGGTACCAGGTCCTGGGCCCAGCCAGGCTGCTGTCACTGCAGGGGAAGAAATTCGTGGGGGACCTGCAGCCAGATGGGAGGATCGTGTGGCAGGAAACTGGACAGGTGTTCAACTCGCCCAGTGCCTGGGCCACCCACTGCAAGAAGCTGGTCAACCCAGCCAAGAAGTCGGGCTGTGGCTGGGCCTCTGTCAAGTACAAGGGCCAAAAACTGGATAAATACAAGGCAGCCTGGCTCCGACGACACCAGCTCCATGTTCCCACAGCTGCCACTGATGAGGTACGACCTTCAGCCACCTGGAAAAATCCTTCCCTAATTCACTGTCAGATAAGGAATACCCAGAGGACACTGCAGTTGGGGTTCTGTGGAATGAGTAAGAGTTTGTCAGAGCAAGATGAAGGGAAGAGCTTTCCAGAGGAAGGGAATGGCATAGCAAAGCCACGTAGGCATGAAGCAGGACATGCTGCTTAGGGAGCCATGATTGGCTGATGCAGCTGGGGGTTCTCACGTCTTGGGTAGCTGAGCAGATTGGAGACATTGGCAGCGACCAGACCCTGGAGGGTTGCAAATGCCATGGTTATAATAAGTCTTCTTTGAATATTCACCAGCTGGGTGAACTTCACCAAGGACTCTTCCTGGGTCCTTGGTCTTCTTCATATGTAAAACTGACATGGTAATAGTATCCATGAGTAACAAATGTGTATGTCTGGGTGGCGAGTCCAAAATCTGCAGGGCTGCTGGCAGGCGGGACCCTCAGGTAGCAGCTGGTTGATGTTGATCCTGCAGTTTTAAGGCAGAATTCCTTGTTTTCCAGGAAATCTCAGTTGTTACTATTTAAGCTCTTTCAGTTGATTGGATGAGACCAACCCACATTATCAAGGAGACTCTTTACGAAAAGTCAGCTTCCTGTAGATGTGAATCGCCCACCAAATGCCTCCACAGTGACACCTAGACTAGTGTTTGGTTAAACAGTGGTTACTGTGGCCAAATCAAGTTGACATATAAAACTAACCTTCACATGGCATGGGGCTGTGCATTTAGCAAGTATTTAGTAAGGGCCAACTGTGTGCCAGGCCCTGTCCTTGGTGCTGGAGATAAAGAAGAAAGCAAAAAGAGAAAAATCTCTGCCCACATAGAGAGAAAGACAAAGAAATCAAATAAATAAGCTCAGCTTATTGTATGTTAGAACAGAGACAGGGGATAGCAGTTGGAAGGCAGGAGGTAAACAGGGTGGCCTCACTGAGAAGTAACATTTGAGCAGAGAACTAAAGAAGGGGAGGGAGGCAGCTGTGAGGCTGAAAATAGTGTATGCAAAGGCCCTGGGGCAGCACTGTTCCTGGTGTGTTGGAGAAACAGAAAAGGGACCTGTGTGGCTGGAGCAGTGAGTAAAAGGGAGGGAGGAGGGAGAACAGGGAGGGGATGGGGCAGGTCATGCAGGACCTTGTGGGCCATGGGGAGGACTTGGGCTTTAACCTGAGGAAGGTGGCAGCCCTGGAGGGCTGTGGACATTAGAGGGGAGACCTGATTCAGGTGCTCAAGGCTCTCTCTCGTGGCTGCTGAGGGGAAGACAGACCATAGGGGCTAAGGTGGAAACCAGGACACCAGGATGCCGGTGACTGCACTGATCTGGGTGGGAGGTTATGGGATGGACCAGCACGGCCATTGATGGGAGAAGTAAGCAGGTCCTGGCTAATTTTGAAAATGGATCTGATGGGATTTGCTGATGGCTCAGATGTTGACGTTAGATGTTTTGTGGATGGGGTGGATGGGGCTGCCCTCATCAGTGATGCAGGTTTGAGGGATGGTGGGGCACAACATGGCCATGTTGTGTGTGAGATCCCCAGGAGTCCCCCATGTGGAGACATCGAGGGTCAGCTAGACCCTGAGTCTGGAGCTCAGGGCAGGCCCAGGCTGGAGACAGGGCTGTGGGTCACTGGGGCATAGACGGGGTTTGAGCCCCGACAGTGGACAAGGCCGCCTGGGAGGGATGGTGAAGGAAGAGATCTGAAAACCTAGGAGGGAGAAAGGGGGAAACTGAGGGGTCCTAAATAGGCGGGAGGGAAGCTGGGTGTGTGCAGCATCCCTGAGGCGTCCCCAGGAGTACAGGGGACTGATGGGGCCAGATGCCTCCGAGAGAGGGAGAAGGACAGAGACTGAACTGTGACTGTTGGGTATGGACACAGAGAGGTCGCCTCGGAAAGGGTGTTGAGGACAGAGCGGGAGAGGTTATTGAGAGAATCTGATGAAATAATCCACGCAAGTGCTTTCCCGGTGAACGGATCAACAGGTGGTATGCTGAAGGCCCTGCATACATTACCCTCTTTCACCCTGACTCCACTCCTCTGGGGCTGGAGGGCACTGTACGCTTTCCCTGGTGAGACTAGAACTCAGACGTGAGGCTGCTGGCCCGAAGTTCCAGTGTGAGGCAGAGGCGGGAGTAGAATCTGCGAAGCGGCCACGAGAGGGCACACAGGCCTGAGCTGCGCCGCAGCCTTCCGCCGCTTCTGCTCCCTCCCTCCCTCTAGTGGGCACCTAGGGCAACGGCAGGAAGGCTCAGGCCAGCCAGAGATTTGGGGGGCACTTGATGGAGGGCTGGGGCCACTCAGCTTTGGGTCCTGCCTCTGTCCCCCAACCCCACCCCCTCCCAGAGCCCGGCCAGCGAAGGGGAGGAGGAGGAGCTGATGATGGAGGAAGAAGAGGAGGAGGTTGTGGCAGGAGCCTCAGCGGAGGACAAGAGTCGGAGATCATCGGCTAAGGGACCCTCGGAGCCCGCCCATCCCGGTGAGAGACAGGGGGAGATGGGCAGGGGGCGGGCAGGGCTCAGGAGAGGGAGGACCCTGGGGAAGGGTCTGGCTTTGCTTTTCCTCAGAACCCCCCAGATGCCAGGCTGACTTCCCAGCCCCATGTCCTAATTTCACTCTCCGAGCCTGATTTCTTCAGTTCTAATGCTGGATTTCTCGGCCCCATTGTCCAGATTTCATGTTCTGCCCCTATTTCTTCACCTTGCCCTCTGATTTCCATGCTTCCCTATAGGATGTCTTTGCTTCGTCGCCTTATTTCTAGCCCATCTGCCTGATTTCTTTGGCCCCTCGCCTGGCTCTCTGAGGTCCTCATCTGATTTCCTGAACCTTTCATCTATTTTTTTGTTTTTAGTATCTCCTCTGCTCCATTTGTTAACTGGCTGCCTAGTTTCTGAACCTGCTTCCTGATTTCCCAGAGCCACAGCCTGATTTCTAGGTCTGCCTCTGGAGTTGTTTTCTTGGACTGCCTGGTCTTCTTCCAGTTTTCCAGTTCCAGGCCAGGGAGGGAGTGACACAACCATTTTTTGCTTAACCTCAACTCGCAGAGGCCACGCCCCCAGGGAAGCGGGTTGAAAACAAGATCCGGGTGCCCGTGCGCTACTGCATGCTGGGGAGTCGTGACTCGGCCAGGTCAGATAAGATAGCTCCCCGCCCGCCAGCCCCCCCACCCCGTTTACAGGAGCTCTTGCTCACCTGGGGGAAGCAGGAGCAGGGGTAGGGTGGGAACAAGGCCTCAGATCTTCAGAGCTGCTGTGGGGGTCTAGGGAACCAGCTTGCGGGGGAGGGAAGGGCCTGGGGGTTCCTGAAGCTGCGGGACCCTCTGGCTCCTACAGGAACCCCCACACCCTGGTGGAAGTGACGTCCTTCGCAGCCATCAACAAGTTCCAGCCGTTCAATGTGGCTGTCTCTAGCAACGTGCTGTTCCTGCTGGTGTGTGCCGCCTCCCACCTTGCCCCTTAGAGGCCAGGGACACGGTTGGGCAGGTGGCTAGGGCACCTGGGAGGGGGATTCCTGGAATTTTGGCTCCCTGAGGCAGGGACTGTGCTTTGTTCACTACTGGTAAACAGTAGGCACTCAATCAGTGCTTGAATGAAGAAGTTGGGCAGGCTGGCCCCTGCACTGGCCCTTGAGAGCAGGCATGTGGGGCTTTGCCGTAGCCTGAGCCCATCTTCTGACATCCCTCCCTTCCCCAGGACTTCCACAGCCACCTGACTTGCAGCGAGGTCGTGGGGTACCTGGGGGGCCGCTGGGACATCAACAGCCAGAGTGGGTATCTGGGGCCTAGGGGCCAGGGCCGTGTTTAGGTTCAGAGTCGATGTCCACACCCTCTCCCCAACTCTGCGCAGTGCTCACGGTGCTGAGAGCCTTTCCCTGTCGGAGCCGGCTGGGGGATGTGGATACTGCGGCCACCATGGAGGAGGAGGTGAGGAGGGGGCGCACAGGACGCGCATTCTGGGTGGGGGCAGCAGGGGTGGGTGCAGCTGTCCTGGCCACAGTGTCCTGCCGGCTCGCACAGGGTCAAATCTCAGCAAGTGTGCAAATGAATGTGTGTGAGCTCCCATCCCTGGGCCTGTGACTGCGCTGTTAGGCATCCTCTGCGCACAGCCAGCCCCTTTCTCTCTGAGCCTTGGTTTCCCCTCTGTGCCTGGCACCTAGTAAAGGCCCAATAAATATCAGATGCCATTCCTGTCAGTGTTCTCATAATGGTGCTTAATATGCGTCTAGCACTTGTGCCAAGCACTGTACACCCACCTCGTGGCACCACCGCATGTTTCCCGGGGTGAATAGCGTTAAATGTCTGCCTACTCCTCCTTTCTCCTTACGCCTGCGCCTGCGCATGCCCCAGCTTTGCCCAAGGTGTCCTGAATGCCTGTTCCTGCTTAAGGGCTCACACATCCACCTATCTCTTTCTTTAACTATTTATTGACCTGCTGTGTGTCAGGCAGTATTCCATGAGCTGGGGATACAGCACTGAGAAAAATAACTTTTAGCCTGTGCATTAGGACAGGTGTGTCTTTTTAATGTATTTGCTGACTGTCCCCCACTGGATTCGGTGAGGGTAGGGGCAGAACCTGTCTTGGTCACTGCTGTGTCCCCAGGCCTGATACGCAGCAGGGGCTTGTTACATGTGGACCGCCATCTGGGGCTGTAGGAAGCCAGGCACGCAGGGGCGCAGCGTGAGTTCACCAGGGCCCTAGAGCTCCGGCCGGGCCCCTGCCGATGCAGTCGCGCCTCTGCCCCCCAGATCCACCAGAGCCTGCTCCTGCGCGGCCTGTCCCTCGTGGGCTGGTACCACAGCCACCCGCACAGCCCGGCGCTGCCGTCGCTGCAGGACATCGACGCGCAAATGGACTACCAGCTGCGGCTGCAGGGCTCCAGCAACGGCTTCCAGCCCTGCCTGGCCCTGCTCTGCTGTACGTCCGGGGCTGGGGCGGAGTGTATGTGCTAGCGCGCGTGCGCAGCGCTGCGCCTCAGCCCAGCCCCTCCTCCCGCAGCCCCTTACTATTCTGGCAACCCCGGGCCAGAGTCCAAGATCTCCCCGTTTTGGGTGATGCCGCCCCCGGAGGTAGGCGGGGCTGGTGGGAGGCGGAGCCGTGGGCGGGGCTGCGGGGGAAGGCGGGGCCAAGAGGGCTTGCTGAGGGCCTGGTGCCGGGGCTCTGGCTCCTGGCTCGTTTGGGGACTGGGGTCTCAGTTCCTCCCGTTTGTAAAGTGGGAACGTAACCACTGCCCTGCCTGAGGCTCTGTGAGGGCCTGGGTGCTGAGGGATGTGGAAAAGGCGGGGGGCCCTGCGTGTAGCTGCCGTTCTCCCTCACCACGATGGCCTCCGACCTGAACCTTGCCTGGTGTCCTTTCCCTAAGTCCGTTCTGGGGTCAGAAATCAGCCTCGGAAAGCAGTTCTGGGGCCGTGGCTCTCCTCGTGGCCTCTCCTGTCAGGGATGCCACCTTGTCTCCCTAGTCCTACAGCGAGGGTCCCCCAAGGTGCCCGTGGCTCTCAACCTCCGTTCCCAGGGTGGAGCCGGATTCTCCGATCTCCCCCGCCCCCCGCCTACCCCGGGTGCATCTGGCTTGGGACGGGAGGCCGGCGGTGACCGGCTTGTGTCCCTGCTAGCAAAGGCCCAGTGACTACGGCATCCCCATGGACGTGGAGATGGCCTACGTCCAGGACAGCTTCCTGACCAATGACATCCTGCAAGAGATGGTGAGCTCCCTCCGGATTAGGTGGGTGGGGGCCCCGGGGAGGGGCAGGCGGGGGCTGAAGGCACCCAGCTGGACGGTGGTGACTGGCAGGACTCAGGAAGCCGAATGTGCCGCACCAGGGCGGGCGGGCGTCAGGTTCCGCTCCCACTGCTGAGAACCACCTGTGGCTGGGGATGGAGTCTCAGGTCCTTGTCTTGGCGCCTCCCTCGCCCACCTGCTCCCCTGCCCGGCCTCCTTGTTCTTCTGGAACCTGCGGGGGACACTCCTACCTCGGGCCTCTGCACCAGCCACAGATCTCCAAGTGGAGACACGTGAGAACTTTTAGGTGGTGCCCAGATGAAGGCATTAGTACCTGTGCCTCCACAGGTGTTTGTGTTAGTGGAGCTGGTCGGACACACCTGTGATTTCACGGGAGCTGTTTGGCTGGGCTGACCCGGGGGCAGCTCAGGCCTGCTTGGATAAAGGGAGTCGTGCTTGCCGTGCCTCCTGTCTCAGGGGTAGTTAAGCACCCCTCGGCGGGGCCTCCTGCTAAGCTTCCATTTCTGCCAGGTGGCGCTCCTCGGTGGCCCATCTCCTGGGGTCTTGGGGAACACCTGTGTGCTGTGCTAGTCTGGAAGCCCCCCGTGGGGCAGCAGCAACAGGGTCCCCCGTCTGCCCTGTCCCACAGATGCTGCTGGTGGAGTTCTACAAAGGTGCCCCTGACCTCGTGAGGTTCCAGGAGCCCTGGGACCAGGAGCACACCTACCTTGACAAGCTGAAGGTGACTCACGCCTGGGGTCCCTGCAAGCCCCTTCTTTGGGAAGATGCTTCCTGGGGAGCCAAGGATCTATCTTGGGGAGTGGGTGGGGGCTGAGAAACAGTGACGTCCTACGATGTTCTGTACAAAAGTATTCCAGCCAGAGATGAGCCCAGCCCAGGGGAAGTCTTGTTTTATCGCACAGGGGCGGGGTGGGGGTGATGGTGGTAAATGTCACCAGCCCTGGGGACCTCTGGACCCCAGGATACCCTAGGTGAAGAAACTGTGTGGGACTGCTCCATACCACGGGGAGGATGCAGAGGGTTCTGATCTGATCCCGAGTCCTAAGTGCCAGTGAAGTGTAACAAAACAAACGCAGGCAGTGTTGTGAACGAGTTTCTCTAGCTCCCTGGCCCCATTTACTGGGCCATTTAAATAAGGGCTTGGTGGCCTCTTGAGTGTGTCTGATTTATTTCCTGTTTCAAAGTCATTCTCGGAAGGTGCGCTCAACTCTGCTTTGCAGAGAAACAATAGTTTCTCCCATGTTGCTTGTTTTATTTGAACTTAAAAAAGGGAACCAAGGCTTAAAACTCCTTGGGAGTCCCCAAGCTGGGTGGCCCCTAGAGATCAGAGTGTGAGAGATCCAGGCAGCTGGGGTGACAGCAGGATTTGGAATGTGCAGGACATTCCACATTGGTCAGCCAGGCCTTTGGTTGCATAAGGCTCCTCTTGTTGGAAAGCACTGCTTTAGGGACACTGGCTAGACCATGTGCTCGGGTCAGAAGAGCCCCTCCCCCAGGCCGCAGCACTTGGGGCTCAGGCAGGCAGGACCTGGGGAGGCCAGGACCTCTGGGTGCAGCCCTGAGGGGCCAGCCCTGCCTTTTTCAGATCTCCCTGGCCAGCAGGACGCCCCAGGACCAGGGCCTGTGCCATGTGCTGGAGCAGGTGTACAGCGTTCTCAAGCAAGGGAGCTGAGACCAAGCCCCCGGCGGCCCTGGGGGAGGGAAATGGACCCCGGGGCTGTGTGCGTGGCTGTGCTGCTCCATCCCTGTGTGGCTTGGCTGTATGGTGGCTGGAGCTCAGAGAATAAAGAGAAGCAAACAGCCCGGGAGTGTGTCTCACTCTAGGTAGGGGAGCCCCCAACACTTGTTGCTGGGCATGTAGGCTGCGGTTGGGTAGCAGAGCACCGTGGGTGGTGCTGGGTGCAGGAGGGAACACTGCAGCCACACCGTGGACCTTCTGGGGCTGGGGCTTCAGGGAGGAGCCTGCAGGGGACATACTGCCCGCGCTGGTAACTGGACATGTGACGGCCACCCCTCCCGGCCCGGCTGCAGGGCTGGTGGCCACCACATGGGCCCTGCCCAGACACCTACAGGGTCCGTGCACTGGGGTAAGCCCTAGGGGGAAACCCTGCACCACAACTAGACAAGAGGCTGTAGAAAGAGACATTTAATACTTTTTAAAAAAAAATCAAGATTACAATTTCATCTGCCCTAGACTGTTGCCAAGGCTATACTGCTCATCTCGGCCAGGACACCTGTGCCAGTGTAATGGTGGCAAGGGGGCTCCATGGTGAGCAAGCCTGGTGTCTGGAGGCTTTGCTGGGTCACTGGAGGGGAATGTGAACCAGGTCTGAGGTCCCCCATTCAGCCCACTTTCAGATTAGACAAACAGGGAAGTGGATGTGAGGCTGGGGCCCTGCTGGTCAAGCAAGGGCCTGCCTTGGACTGGAGGAGGTGGCTGGGCTCACTGTCAGCAGTGGCCTGCTCGGGACAGGGGAGGTACTTGTGACCCTCCCGGAGGGCAACCCCAGCAGCCAGGGGTCTGGGAACAATCACTCAACAAAGACTTTGTGCTTGGCCTTCTGCAAAGCAGAGGTTGGAGGGCTCCTGTGGTCCCATGTGTATGTGGGGAGGTGGGAGGGATGGGGGAGTGCAAGCTGGTGGGTGGCACTTGTGCCAGAGAGAAAAGTTCCATGTGCTGAGCTGGAACTGAGGGGGTGAGGGCGGTGGGCAGGGTCTGTGGGGCTCAGTGCCCTTGTGGAGGTGGGGAGCAGTGGTGGCCCAAGGGCTGCTGAGGAGAGGGGGCTGTCTCTCCCAAGCCACTGGCTGGAGCGAAGGGGTGAGGCACCTGTGGGCCTGCAGAGGCCTGGAGTGGGGGCTGGGAAGGGGCGTGCTGGGAGGATTTAAAAGGGCAGCCGGTCTCAGCCAGGGGTCCAGCTCAGCCCACCCCATACCACGTTCAATTTTGTCCCTCTGTGGGCAGGTCTCCTGGCAGGGTGGGCAAGGGCCAGAAGGGGGAGAAGACCATGTTGGGGGAGCGTGTGCCCACCCACCTGGAGTCACCAGTCCTTGAAGGGGTGGGAGGAAGTTAGTGTTTCTAAGAGCACCTTAGTGTGGCCCCCTCGGGCAGCTGGGCTGGGCACCACCGGAGCAGCAGGGAGGAGGTACACTGCCCAGCCCCCAGGACGGTGGCCTGGGGCCGGAAGGAGCCCATGACCGCGGGGAGAGCAGGTAGGAAGAGGGCTCCCCGCAGTCGGGCCTGCCGGCGGTGCGTAGCACTCTGCCCAGGATGGTGGCCACAGGACCTCTGGACGGCAGGGCGGGGTGGTCACTGTGGCAGGGGCACCAGAACCTCCACGTAGCTGAGCGGGAAGAAGCCCGACTGCCCGCGGAGCATGCCCTCGTACCAGTTCTCGTCGATCTGGTTGGTCAGCGTGATGATGTCGCCCTCGTGGAAGCCCAGCTCTCCATCGTTCTCGGGCTCGAAGTCGTACAGCGCCTTGCAGCTTGGCTGGTCCAGGGGCGCTGGGGAGGGATGGACGTGAGGCTGGGCTTCCACCGGCTCTTGGCTCAGGCCCCCAGGCTCCCCGGGTCCCGCTGGGCGACAGCCACGGCCCCGCCGTGGTCCTGCTGCCTGGCTGCTGCTCAGTCGCCAGCCAGGAAGAAGGAGCCATGACAAGCCAGGGGACAGGACTCCGAGTGGTTACCAAAGGCTGCTGGGAGGAGCAGGGCACAGCCCACCGTACTTGGGGTGCTACTCTGAGCCTGGAGTGAGCAAGGAGCCCTGGTGCCCTGGGTATGCGTGGGGAGGCCGTGCTGTGCTGCCCAGTGCACCCCTGCTTGAGCACTTCTGTGGGAGAAGGGGAGGAGAAAGACTTCCGGACCAGACTAGGAGGTGACACTGTAAACTGAGGCAGGGAGTGTGCAGAAGCAAGCCTGTGCCCTGGGGTCACTCACGCATGCTCCTGCTGGGGGTCCGGATGGGCTTGTCGGCAGATCGGAAGGATGACGAAGCTGCGTGCAGACAAAGCATGGAGTTGCACTCAGGACAGGGGGTGGGGCCTGCTTCTGGCCCTGGGGGCCCTTCCCCAGAGGGTGGGGGGCCCGGCCCCACCCAGCCCCGCACTGTGGATGGAAGGGCAGGCAGGGGGCCATCCCCAAAGGGGCCTAGCTCTCAAAAGTTCTAGGACAGCAAGGCCCACTCCCCCCTTGTTACCTGTGATCTTGGGGGCCGGGGTACAGGGGAAGCCCCCGTTGGACTGCTCCGCCTCTCCGAGGTCAAGGGGTTCTCGGGGCTTGGGCTTGTATTCCCGCCTGGGGCGTGAGGACGCTTCCTGCACCCTGGGTTTGGGGAGGGAGAGCCGCGAACAGCCTGTCTTGAGCCCTGACATACAGGAGCACCGCCCCTTGTTGGTGCTGTTGCCCTGCGACTTGGGGTGATGTGGGAGGAGAGCGCTGGGCGGGCTGTCAGAGGAACCCTGGGCCCAACCAAAGGGCTTCCTGATTGCCTCTGGACCAGCCCCTCAGCAGCTGGGAAGCTGGGGCCCAACACCCCCCTGCCCCCACCCAGACCACCACCGCCCAAGGCTTCCTTTTCCAGGCCCCAGATGCTGGCTGACTGTCGGGTGGGGGCTGGGGCCCCTGGGCAGTAAGTATGGACACCGAATAAGGGGCTCCCAGGTCAGCCCAGGTGGCCCTGAGCTCTGAGATGCCCCATTCTCCTAGCCTCCTGTCCTTAGACCACTCAAACCTGCTCCTTCAGGAATCAGGAAGAGCCCAATGATGCCCTGCTGCCTCCTGGGACCCCCCCCTCTACACAGCCCTGGCCACCAGGCCAGCACGTGCAGACGGCACCCACGGGGAAGCCAGGGAGCCTGGGCTCACCTCTGCTTGAGCTTCTCCACCAGCTCCTCCAGGATCCGCACCGCCTGCCGGTGGTAGTCCAGCTGGGCGTCCACCAGGGCAGAGAGCTGGCTCACCTGCTCAACCTACAAGTGGCCAGCCAGGGCTGCTGGGGGGGGCCCTGGGTCCATTTCCAGGCCACCGCCCACAGGGAGGCTTCCCAGGCTGCTCTGGGCACGGGGGCCTGGTCCCCTCCCCATCTGCCTGACCCTCGAGCCATAGCCAGAGGAAGGTGAAGGGTCTGAGGGAGACCCCGAAGCCTCGGTGGGCCGCCGCTGGCCCCCCTGCTGCTCTAGCTCCCTGTGTCCCTCTGCCCTGCACAGGCTGGCCCGCCGCTGGGCCCCTCGTTTCAGAGGCTCCCACGGGGTGCAGGCCAGGCGCAGGCGCACGTACGTCCGTCTCCAGGAGGTTGTGCATGCTGGTCTCGGACACCTCCTTGGACTCCTCGAACTTCTCCATGGCCTGGCGCAGCTCCTCGTCAGGGATCCTGCCCTGCCGCTTCTTCTTGTAGTCGAAGTCCAGGCGGCGGCTCTCCAGCTTCTTCAGGTGGTGCTGTTGGGGGTGTGGGGCCGAGGTCACGCTGTGGCGCTGGGGACCTCGGGGAGGGCGCCGCTCCTGCAGCTCTAACGGATGGGAAACCAGGCCGGGCCGCAGGAGGGCGGAGTGGGCTGGGCAGGGAGGGGCCCGGGGCTGCCCTGGGGCCAGGCGGGCTCCTCGGGGCTCACCTGGATCTCCTTCAGGTCCTTGTCGCACAGGTTCTGGAGGGGGTCGATGAAGTTCTGCTTGACCTCTATGTCCAGGGAGTCCTTCACCTCGGCCAGGCGCCTCATGGACTCCCCTGCGTCCAGCAGCGCATCACCTGCAGATGGGAGGCGGGGGGGAAGCTGTCACGGGAGGCCTTGGCCTAAGGGCTAGACACCCCTGAGTTCTAAACGGCCCCCGTGTCCCATGGCCAAGGACCATGACGGCAGAACTCAGAACGAGACAGGAGCCCCTAAAGTCTGAACTGGAGCCACAGTGGCTGGGAGCTGCTGGTGACGGATGTCAGCAAGCCGCCTTCCCCCATGCTAGAAGAGGGGGACCAGGTTTGCCCTGAACCAGCAGAGGTGCGAGGGCAGGGCTCCCGCAGCTGTGGCACTGTGGCACCTCAGGCGCCCCAGCTGCCCTCGTCCGAGGGCTGGGCAGCACGAAGATGCTTCTGGAGCTCAGGGAGGGAGGTGCCGCCCCGCACACCAGTGCAGGAACGCAGGCCATCCCCACATCACCGTGCCACCCCGCGGCCTCACCAAAGTTGGACTCGCTGCCCAGCTCCTTCCCGTGGCGGATCATGCACTCGCCCAGCAGGCCCTCTGACTGCGGGTAGCCTGGGCTCTTCACCTGCCCTCGGATCTTGGACACGGTGTTGAGCATCGTCAGCTTGGCTCGGGAGGCTGGAAGAGGACGGGCAGGGAGGCTGTGCAGGTGGCCTCCTGAGGCTCCAGGCCTCCACTGCTGGCTGCCACCCTCTGCCCTGGCTGCCATTCTGAGCACTCAGCTCCACGCCTGCTGACAGCCAGGCCCCGAGAAGAACCTCCCAGACAGACTCCCCGTCCTCTGCTCTTGCCAGCCAGCAGCAGCCCTGGCAGCAGGCAGGGGATCGGCCCCCCCAGGGCCTCCTCGTCCTGGAGCACCGCTGAGTGGACCCTCCCCTCTGTGAGCTGGGGAGCAGTGCCTCAGAGAGGCGCCTGTGGGCAGGTACAGGTGTGCAGAGCTACAATGCCCAGATCCCACCCATGTGGGGGGCAGCTGTGTCCTAGCAAGGCCTCGAAGGGACACGGGTGCTTAGCTGCCTGTCCCATGCCTAATGCTTCCTGCTACGATTCGGATGTTCCTCAGGGAAAGGGCCCCACACCTCCTTATCCTAGGAGGCCTCTCCTTGTGCTCAAAGGTGGGCATGTGCCTGGGGCCTAGCAAATGGAATGGGCACCCAACTCAAACTGGTCCAGTGAGCCGGCTGGGGGAAGGCAGTGCTCTTTGCTGGGACAGTTGGCTGGGGGGGGTGATTTAAGGCTCAGGTGCCACAAGGACTGAGAACTGCCTGAGGAAGCGGAAAGGAAATGCATGACCTTGACGGCATCCTTTGGACCCCTGTATCCAGCCCCTCCTGAAATGCCTGCCCAGGGCCCTCAGCTCTGGAGCCCACGCATTCCTTCCCCAAGCTCCAGGACTGGGACACCCCGACTGACACAGAGCCGAGAGGGGTCGGGCAGGCCCCATGCAGCAGGCTGGCACCCTACCTGGGTTGGGCTGCAGGTACTCGATGGTCCTGGCCAGCACTTCTGTCACAGCCTTGCTGGTGACATCCACCTTCTGTAAAGAGAGGCAGCACATGGGGTTTGGCAACCACTGGGGCACCCTGGCCAGCCTGGCCCCGCTCCCTCAGAGCCCACACAGGAACTGCCCACTGCCCTGGGGGCTGCTGGCCTCCCTGCCTCCTGCTCACTCCTCGGCCTGCCGCCCACCTAGTCCATCCTGACAGGCCTGCTCCTGCCCCAGCTGCCAGGCCTGCGCCTGCCCCAGCTGCCAGGCCTGCGCGCCAGGTGCCAGAGAGGGCACGCTGCCTCCCCGGTTACCTTCTCCATCTCTCTGAAGTCATCGTCAAGCTTGGTCCCTTCGGCCCCTCCGACCTTCTCACTGACCAGCTAGGGGACAGAAAGGGGGACAAGTGTGAGCAAAGGAGGAGGCCCCAGGAACCCTCCCAACCACATCCACTGCAGAAGGAGGTCGAGGGGTCAGGACATCCACAGCAGTTTCTCAGGGATGCTGAACGTGGCAGCGAAGCCCTGGCTCCAAACCCACACACTCCTTCAAACCTGGACAGGGGCGCCTCCTCCTGGGAGCCCTCCCAGGCTGTGCCCACCCCATTGGCCTGCGCTGACGGCTCCAGAGTCCTGGCCAGTGTTCCCACCCCCACAGAGGGTCATTCCCTCATAGCACAGAGGTACGGGGCCCAGACAGGGGGCTGTGGTTTAGCTGTGGGTGTGGTGATGAGGTTCACTAAGGGAATTGTGCACCTCCCTTACTGAATGCCTGCCTCTCCAGGAAGGAATTTCAGGGACCGCTGGGGCCAGCACTTCCCCAAAATTTTTGAGGAGCACCTCTGAGGACAGACAAGTGTGCAATGGAGAGACCTGCACTGCACAGGCCAACTGTCATGTCCCGGAAGTCATCTGTGTGTGCGTGTGCATGCAGTTGCAGTTCTGAGTAGCAGTTGCATGTTCACTCTCACGTTGAATCACCTACCCCTGCCGCAGAGCAGCAGAGTGTGACACGTTTAATTTCTGATGTTTGAGCACAGGCTTGCACACACACACACACATGCTCGATTTCCTGATGGCCAGCGGCTGTCATGCCCACCCATCCAGACCCCTCCTGGGCCCTGGGTGGCCGCCAGCCCGCAGGCACAATCTGACCACCGGGCCTGCTGACGGGCCCACCACCTCCTACCCATGCAGTCTCTGGCAAAGGGCGTGGCCCGGCCCCGCTTCTCCTCTGTAGTATGGGGTGACTGTAGCGACACTGCTGTGGGCGCAGGCACAGGCGCCCCAGGCACAGGGAGCACTGGATGTCCACACCTCTGACCACTGTCATGTGTCCTTCCAGGGATGCTGTGCAGAGCTCCACACAGCCTATCAGTCTTTGTCCCCCCACTTACTCCAGGACCAAAAGGGGATGGGGCCGTGTGCCCTGCAGGTCAGCGGTTCTCAACCTGGCTGCACCCCGGGAGTCCAGGAGCAGGCTGGGTGAGAGGTGACGCCAAAGTAGTGGGGGACAGGAAGGAAGCACAGCTGGTGCCAGGCCCGCCCAGTGACTGTCACCCCTAAGCTGCTCAGGCTGTGCCCTGCCAGACACCGTCTGCTAGGGAACCTTGCAGGGGAGGCTGGAGCTGGCCTCCCGGTTCTGCTGATGACTTGATAAGGAAAGACCCCAGTCTTTCCTAGGCATTCATGGGGCGTTCTACTTTATTTCATGGGACAGTTTCACTTCTTTTGATTATGGTAAACCAGGACATTCTCAAATTTGGTGGTTGCCAGAGAGCGAAATGAGTGAGCAGCCTGCCATGGGACACGGCTTTTCTGGCGAACTGAGAGGGGAGCTGAAGCAGTGGTGCTCAAAACCACACCTTCCGGGCCCAGGGCACTGGGGCCAGTGGCCTGTTCCACGCAGGACAGGCGGCTTAGGGCAGAGGTTCTCTCTAGGAGGTGACACATCCTCCAAGGGGAGGCAGTGCAGGCAGACCCTGCAGCCTCTTCTGGGCCTGAGAGTGTCACTTCCCCGCCTCCCGGGGAATCCATGAGTCCCAAGTTCCCAGGACAGCTCCTCAGCCACCGCCACCCAGCCCGGGTCACCTTGCACTTCAGCCCAGGGCGGCTGCACTAGAGATGGTCCAGCCCACCTGGGAGCTCTGAGCCCAAGTTCCCCAGGGGTGGCTGACTGTCCCCGAGTCCCTTCCCTCCAAGACTCACAGTCTTGGAAACAGCACGAATGAATAAAAGGATGACAAGGCAAAAGGAAAAAGTGGGAAAACCAAAGAAGTCACATGCTATAACCGCCGCAACAGAAGGGATGCAGGGCTGAGTGGGGGCTCCCCAGGGGTGTAGGCTCAAAGGGGGCCTGAGAGTTCATGGGGAGAGCTGGGGCCTGCATGGGGGGTCACAGGGAAGCACCTGTGCTGTATAGAGTGGGCTTTGCCAGGGGCTTGGGGCCTCCTGTCGCTGAGCAGCCAGCCCTCATGTAGGGACTGCAGGGCCCTGTCCATGGGGAAGGCCACAACCCCAACACTTCAGTCCTCAGGACAATGCGCACAGTTTGGACCCAATGAGAGCAGCAGACACCAAAGTGGAACAAACACCTCCACATTCAGAGTCTGCACTTATGTGAAATAAGCTCCCCCCCGCGCTCCCCGACTTGATGCTCACTAAAACCTGATCGTGTCTCCATGCTACAAGAGGAAACTGAGGCACAGGGCTCAGCAGGCTGAGGGTGGTAGCCCACTCCCTTCTACACATCCCAGGAGCAGCCAGGGACCCCACCCCTACCCTGGCTCATGGTGCAGAGGGGCCAGCACAACAGGAGGGTGGCTGTAGCTGCAGAGGTGTACGGAAGCCGTGGCCTTGTGGCCCACCTGACTGGGCCAGAGCCCGAGTCCCCAGCAGGGGCCCCGTGACAGCAGCCATCATGAAGCCCATGCCTGCGCCTCCTGAGACAAATGAGGGTTTGTTCTCCAAGTGCTGGGAATGTTTCCCAAGATTCTACCCCGGTTTAGGTGCTGGTTATGCCCCCTGGAGAGGCACTGGGAGGCCTGGGCTGGGCATCACCTGCCAGGTGAGACCCCAGGCTGAGCAGTCAGTGTGGGAGTGGCTGCCACTCAGCCAGACCTGGCATCCGCCAGCAGACGCTGCCTGGATCCCGCCTCTGGAAAGTGCTCAGTGACTGTGTTCCACTGGGGCCTAGAGAGGGTCTCTCCTGGGGGTGGCCAGGGAGCTACCGGTTAATAAGGGTCCACAGGTGGCTTTGAGACCAGCCAGCTGGTGTGAAGGCCATGCCATGCTCAGGCCACCAGGTGAGAGCTGCTGCTTAGTGACATGTCTGGGCACTGGCCTGCCTGCGTCTGTCCTCTTTAACGGCTCTGGCGGGGCTTCGCCGGCCTGCCCCATGGCCCAGCTGCCCCCAGGAGCGTGCTCTTGGGCAAGTGCTAGTGTCGCACCTCCGTCCGCCTGCAGGGCAGCACCTTAGGAGGCCCCTCTGCTGTCTGTCTCTGGGGCTACCACTTTGGGAAATGCTACAAATAGACTCATATCAGATGTCTGGCCTGAGAGGTATTTCCCCCATGTTATTTTTCACCTTTGGGAAGAGAGTGCCTTACCCCCAGCCCAGGCTGCCTCCAGGGCAGGGCAGGGTCCAGGGTCCCCACGTTCAAACAGCAGCTTAGATTACAGAGGTGGGTACTGCCCGTGAGGGTGTAAAGGAGCCCCCAGTCCTGTTTGCTTCCCGGAGTGCCTGACCCACCTGCGGAGCCCCAGCCTGCATCCCACCTAGACTCTGAATGGTCATATTTGTGACAAGCCTACAAGTGAGTGCCGCGGGCAGACGGTGGCCTAGTTCAGGCTCTCCCATTTATTAGAGCTGCGGTGGCCACCACTGTCACTGTGAGCCGGGCGTGGGAAGGGCATGAGCCTGGGATGGACACGGTCTTCACCCCAGAGCACCCACCCGATTGAGCGCAGGTGCTAACCAGCAGGCACCAATCATAAAGGCCAACCTAAGAAGGGGCTATTCTTCACAGACGGGTGTTCTTAGACCTTTGGCCATCTTTGAGCAGAACAAGGAACCTGACACATGGACACAGAATGCACAACGATGCTGCAGCTAAGAGCCGGCTGGGCAGCCACTTGTGGAGGCACAGAAAAGTGTGGCAGGAGAGGCTCCCTCTCCCTGGGCGCGTGGGCAGGGGCTGTGGCAGCACACCCGAGGAGCAGTTCCAGTCTTGCCCAGGGGGCAGGCCAACAGCACGCTGTGGTCACCATCCCATCGGGAAAACTGATCGATATGACACGGAACATAAACGGGCCTATCTGCAGGGCACACGATCTGCTTTGATGAATTAAGAATTTAAGGAAAAAAGAAAAGGAGAGGGAGTAAACTGGCCTGCAGGGGAGATGGGCAGGGCTGTGGGGCCTGGCTTACCTGCCAGGATGGGCGCTGAGTGCCCCTGCCCCAGCATCTGGCTATGCTGTGCTTTGGGTGGCCACCTGCAAGGCTCCAGGACCACCTCACGAGGGAGCCCTCCTGTTCTCTCCTTCCCCGGGGACAGGACCCTGGGGCAGGCTTCCCCTCCTGCCCTGGGCCTGGCTCACTTCTCCCTCCCCGTCAGTCCAGGACAACACTGCCCAGGCCATGCTGTGGAGCCGGCCCCTCCCTCCGCGCCCTCAGTGGCAGGCCAGCCCAGGGCCAGGCACAGAGGGAGGGGCTGCTCTTGGGCACTGGATGCAGAGGCAGAGTGAATGGCCCAGAAAGGGTGTTGGAGACAATGGCCCACACAGAAAAAATGGCTCAGGGGGAGAAAGAACCTTGAGGGTCCAGGCCCAGCCACCCTCGGGTCCTGGACCAGTGAGAGGTCCTCCCTCCAGGTGGAGGCGCTGTGACCCATGGTTCTCTGGTGTGAGCACTTCCAGCTAGTTAGCTACCACAGTCAGGAGTGGGGGTCACCAGGCCGGCGCTAGCCGACCGTCACATAGGTGATGAACAACATCCGAAGTGGGCAAGGATGTGGAAGGGGCACCAGGCTGTCCCGGCCTCGAGGAGCGCCCTCTGGCGAGGGAGAGAGGAACGTCAGCCATAACAATATGGAGAAGAATGTGATCAGAGCCACAGGGGAGGTGTAAACACACCCAAACAGGGCAGGATGTGACTCCTGGCTGGATGCACCGCAAAGCCCTGCCAGACAGGCAGAGGGCATTCTGGGTGACGTGTATATGTCCTGTCATAGGTGTCACATCTACTTGATGACAATGCAGAGATCGATGCATCTATTTTACAACAAGGAAACCAAGGGGTGAGAGGTGGAAGAATTTATGGCTGTTGAGCTCTAAGTGGAGGAGCTGGGAGCTGTGCCCAGGTCTGTCAGGCTGGCCAACAGTAG